AAGGTGACTTCAAAACCATATATTTTAAATAAAAACTAAAATTCCTCTCATTTTTTTTTTAAAGTTGCAATACTTTATTAATTAGTACAAAACATACACTTCTAATTAGTTAGATCAAATTGCTTATCGTACGACCAATGTATACTTCATCTGATTTACATACCGTTGCACGTCATCGGCGTTATAGCGCGTGACATCACATGATACCAACACGAAATATTTAGGCGGTTGGTGTATTCTTTTATAGAGTATCACTTTGCCGAGTACTCTGGCATTACAGCCACTAGACATATTTTATTATATACGCGTAGAAATAATATTTAAAGATTTCTATTAATGTTAACTTAAAGAAATACACAATAATATGTTTCATTTCATTTGTATAAATGCATTATAAAGCGTTTTTATGAAGAACATTTGTTCGGAACACACTGTAACTGTAATCGAACGAAGGTGAAATTTTGGCATTAATTGGTAACACTTATTTGACAGTTGCGGTGTTGACACTTTTTGTACTTTATTATTTTGAATTTTAAAGTGAATACCTCTTGTTTTATATTTTTACTTATTTAATAAAATCTGTTCTTTTTAGAACAAAATTAGTGTGTTATATTTCAAAAATGTCACGTAAGAATTTAAATAGTCGTTGTAAAGAGATGGTAATACTTTTGCAATAATTATGTCACCTATTTGATTTAAAATGGATTCAGGATTTTTTTATACTTTGTCAACCATGTCAACTTCGATCTGTGACGTAGATAATGACGTGCAACGGTATGTAAATTAGATGAAGTATATCTATGCCCTAATTTTGCAAACGAATCACCTCTTATTGTTCATAATTAAAAATGCCAATCCCAGAGCCATCTAAATGTCTTTAAAACTGTCTATAAGGGTGACTTATGGCTTCAAGAGAGATTATGCATGTGGTAGATCTTTCCAGGAATGCCGCGTATTGACCATAACATTCGAAGAGATGTTATAAGGAAATTCCATAGCGATAAAAAGTCATTCTGAAATAAATATTTGCAATGTAAAGATACATTGTATAATATAAATTAATTCGTAATGTTGTAAGTAAAGTTTAAACAATCGAACGGTAGTTTCACGTTACAATATTTTACAGCCAGAGAAAATCCGTATGCAACACTATCGTTTTGTTGACTGCCAGTAATTAAATAAAAAAAAATTTATAATTCACAAAGAAATGATTGAAAATATCCACTTACCAACAGTTTTATTAAAGCAGACTGTCCATCTGTCTAGGTACACTGAATAATTTACATCAAATTAATTTAATTAAATTTTGTCGTATTTTCAAGTTGTGGTCCTATACTAGGTATTTGTCACTACGTTGTATTTTCCGATCAGGGTATAGGGAAAAGAGTTTTATTTTATTTTTTTTTATACCATTATATCTTAAGCTTTACTCCGATCAGAGTATTCGGCATCCAGATATAATTATTCATGAGTAACTCAGTTCGGAGTGTATTTTTTTTTGTTCACATTTTAACAAAATATATCAAAATTTCGTTATCGTTTCGTCTTCCTTATCGATATGGTTAGCAAATGTTCCAGTTGTGGAGATAATCCTGCTGGTAAGTTCGTCACGTGTGATAGCTGCCACGTTACTGTGTACTAGTTTGATCATTGCATAGATTTAGGTGCCTCTGAACTAGTGCTGGTGTTGTTTAAAAAAATACTACAGTTAATTTCTGCCGTGTAAGCTGTTTATCTTTTAAAAGTATACCCAGTATACGTAGGAACATGGGTTATGTGATGTACCATCAAATATTTTGGACAAAAAAATACTAACAGACGAAGATAAACTTTTAGCGATAAAGTTCACGTACTGATGCCGGTTGGTGCAGAATACGCCACCCTCTGTAAAATGATACACCTAATTAGTTATCATCATTCACTGAACTTTTGTCATAGTTTAGTTTTTCATCATCAGCATTTCTGGTTTTACAACCAGGTGTGGGTCCTAGCCTCCTCAAGAATTTATCTCCAGTCGTTCCTATCCATCGCCTTCCTCCGCCAAGCACGTATTCCTACATTTATCATGTCTTCATCGATGTTATCAAGGAACCTTGTTCTGGGTTTTATTCTTCTTTTCTAACCAATTAATGTATCAAGGAACGTTTTTGTAGCTGGGTCTTTTTGTTTTATCGCATTACATACCCTATCCTCCTCAGGCGTTTAGTTTTACTTTATTTAAGTTGTTACATTGTATATGATCTGCAGTTTCGGCGTGCAAAGTTTTATAGTTTGATTTTTATTTTAGGTTTACGTCAGAACGAGATTAAAATGGAATTCGAAAGATCATTGGTAACACACACACGAGAAAATTCGTTTAAGTGTGAAACATGTTTGAAGGAATTTACTAAAGCAGGAACTTTGAAAAAGCATTTAAGGATGCACACTAGCGACAAACCTTACAAGTGCGAAATTTGTTTTAAGCAATTTACTCAAGCAGGAACTTTGAAACATCATTTAAGGGTACACACTGGAGAAAAGCCTTACAAGTGTGAAATTTGTTCCCAGCAATTTGGTCAAGCAGGAAATTTAAAAATTCATGTAAGAGTACACACTGGAGAAAAGCCTTACAGGTGTGAAATTTGTTTTAAGCAATTTAGCCGAGAACATCATTTGAAAAATCATTTAAGGATACACAATGGAGAAAATTCTTACAAGTGTGAAATTTGTTCCAAGCAATTTAGTCAAATTTCACATTTGAAAAAGCATTTAAGGATGCACACTAGCGACAAACCTTACAAATGCGAAATTTGTTTTAAGCAATTTACTCAAGTAGGAACTTTGAAACATCATTTAAGGGTACACACTGGAGAAAAGCCTTACAAGTGTGAAATTTGTTCCCAGCAATTTGGTCAAGCAGGAAATTTAAAAATTCATGTAAGAGTACACACTGGAGAAAAGCCTTACAGGTGTGAAATTTGTTTTAAGCAATTTAGCCGAGAACATCATTTAAAAATTCATTTAAGGATACACACTGGCGAAAAGCCTTACAAGTGTGAAATTTGTTCTAAACAATTTAGTCAAATTGGACGTTTGAAAACGCATTTAATGATACACACTGGCGAAAAGCCTTACAAGTGCGAAATTTGTTTTAAGCAATTTACTCGAGCAGGAACTTTGAAACATCATTTAAAGGTACACACTGGCGAAAAGCCTTACAAGTGTGAAATTTGTTCTAAGCAATTTAGTCAAATTGGACATTTGAAAATCCATTTAAGGATACACACTGGCGAAAATCCTTACAAGTGCGAAATATGTTTTAAGCAATTTACTCAAGCAGGAACTTTGAAATATCATTTAAATGTACACACTGGCGAAAAGCCTTATAAGTGCGTAATTTGTTTTAAGCAATTTAGTGAAGCACGATCTTTAAAAAAACATTTAAGGATACACAGTGGAGAAAAGCCTTATCAAGTGTGAAGTTTGTTGTAAGCAAATTATTCAAACAAGCAATTTGAAAAAACATTTGTGGTTGGAATGCACACCGAGAGAAGTTCTTAGAAGTGTGAAATTTGTTTTAAGCAGTTTTCTGAAAATGATATATTATTGTAGAATTTGATAACGCCAGTTAGAGATTAATAGTTAAAATATAAAGTAATTGTGTACACTTATTTATGAAATTGATGGTCACTTGATTGATCAATTTTTAAATAAAACATAAAAATATAAGAGTTTATTAATTTCCACAGAGTATGGCCAACTTGATATGTCTGCTGTAGAAACAGCTTCCTTAGAAGTTGATGTATTAATATAACTTTTTTCGTCAGTACATCTTATCGTTTCTTTTCGACATGGTTAGCAAATGCTGAGGCGACTGCCACACCGCGGTATTTCACATTGATTCACTTATCTTGATCAATTCGTTTCTAGTCATGATAATATTTATTCTAAGCAGGTTTAAATTTAAAACCGCATGAAAAATAACTCACAAAATATATAGACAATGAATGAGAAGTAGAAAGTTAAAAGAATATTTGTGGGACCCCAAAAAGAAGCAAAAAAGTTTACCACTTCCCTGGGCTTCCCCCTAAAACCCCCCTAGTAGTAGGGTAAAAACACAAAAAATCGATGTACCAAAAATCTGCATGCTGTGGAAAAAATGTTTCGAATAAAAAATGTAGCTAAGATAAGTTCAAACAAAAATGTTTGTGTAGAATGAACTGTTCTCTCAGAAACAACGCTTGAAGCGACCGTCGAATTTGAATGTAGTTCCGCGCGCGAAATCAATGTTAAATAAAATTTGCATCAATTCGACGGTAAAAATCCATCTTTTGATCAGAGTGTACTATCGACAAAAATCAAAATGCGTTTTAAAGGTAATGAGGCAGCTTTGGTATACAAGTTTTGTAATTTATCGAAAATGGTAAGTAAATATCTATAAAGCTGTTCAATAAATCAGGTTCGCGCGATTTTTGATATATTTTTTGATTCTCGTGAGGTCAATAAAAATGTATTACTTTCATTGACGAGTCGTAGTAATATTTCCATTGTTGGAGACCAGTCTTCAAAACCTATAACATGAAAATTCGATTTTGATGTTGGGCACCAAATATCAAGCATTTGAAATATGACTATGGATATAAATAGGACATGATCTAAGAGGGCTGAAGTACCGCATAAAACAAACAGAATCAGCTCAGAGTTATCATAAGCATCACAAAAAAATGATACAGCAAACACACATTAGAATAGATAACGTATACAAATACGTGGAAAACGTGGGATTCGCGAGGTAGCATACAATAGTTTGGACGACAAAATACTAACAGATGAACTTTTAGAGATAAAGTGCACGTGCAGAATACGCCGCCTTCTATAAAATGATATAATTCGTTATCCACCTGAACTTCTGTCATAGTTTGGTTTTTATTTTGGTTATTTATTCTAGAGTTGTTAGTTACATTTTGTTTATGATCTTCTATTTTTTCGTGCAAAGTTTTATAATGTGATTTTTATTTTAGGTTTACCTCAGAACGAGAATAAAACGAAATTCGAAAGAACATTGGTAACACATACACGGGAAAATTCGTACAAGTGTGAAACATGTGTGAGGAAATTTACAGCATTGAGATATTTAAAAAGGCATTTGAAAGTGCACTCTGGAAGGACTTACGAGTGTGAAGTCTGTTCTAAACAATTTAGTCAAAATAAACATTTGAAAATACATTTAAGGATACACACTGGAGAAAAGCCGTACAAGTGTGAAATTTGTCCTAAGCAATTTAGTCAAATTGGACATTTGAAAATCCATTTAAGGATACACACTGGAGAAAAGCCTTACAAGTGCGAAATTTGTTCGAAGCAATTTACTCAAGCAGAATCTTTGAAAAAGCATTTAACAATACACACTGGCGAAAAGCCTTACAAGTGCGAAATTTGTTTTAAGCAATTTAGTGAAGCAGGAACTTTAAAAAAACATTTAAAGGTACACAATGGCGAAAAGCCTTACAAGTGCGAAATTTGTTTTAAGCAATTTAGTGAAGCAGGAAATTTAAAAGTACATTTAACAATACACACTGGCGAAAAGCCTTACAAGTGCGAAATTTGTTTTAAGCAATTTAGTGAAGCAGGAACTTTAAAAAAACATTTAAAGGCACACAATGGCGAAAAGCCTTACAAGTGCGAAATTTGTTTTAAGCAATTTAGTGAAGCAGGAAATTTAAAAGTACATTTAAGGATACACACTGGCGAAAAGCCTTACAAGTGCGAAATTTGTTTTAAGCAATTTATTCAGGTAGCAACTTTAAAAGAGCATTTAACGGTACACACTGGAGAAAAGCCGTACAAATGTGAAATTTGTTCTAAGCAATTTAGTCAAATTGGAAATTTGAAAAGCCATTTAAGGATACACACTGGAGAAAAGCCTTATAAGTGCGAAGTTTGTTTTAAGCAATTTATTGTAGAGGGATCTTTAAAAAAGCATTTAAGGATACACAGTGGAGAAAAGCCGTACAAATGTGAAATTTGTTCTAAGCAATTTAGTCAAGATGGAAGTTTGAAAAAGCATTTAAGGATACACACTGGCGAAAAGCCTTACAAATGTGAAATTTGTTTTAAGCAATTTAGTGAAGCAGGAAATTTAAAAGTACATTTAACAATACACACTGGCGAAAAGCCTTACAAGTGCGAAATTTGTTTTAAGCAATTTAGTGAAGCAGGAAATTTAAAAGTACATTTAAGGATACACACTGGCGAAAAGCCTTACAAGTGCGAAATTTGTTTTAAGAAATTTATTCAGGTAGCAACTTTAAAAGAGCATTTAACGGTACACACTGGAGAAAAGCCGTACAAATGTGAAATTTGTTCTAAGCAATTTAGTCAAATTGGAAATTTGAAAAGCCATTTAAGGATACACACTGGAGAAAAGCCTTATAAGTGCGAAGTTTGTTTTAAGCAATTTATTGTAAGGGAACTTTAAAAAAGCATTTAAGGATACACAGTGGAGAAAAGCCGTACAAATGTGAAATTTGTTCTAAGCAATTTAGTCAAGATGGAAGTTTGAAAAGCATTTAAGGATACATACTGGCGAAAAGCCTTACAAATGTGAAAAAGCACATTTAAGGATACACACTGGAGAAAAGCCTTGTGAAATTTGTTCAAAAGGAAATTTAGTCATTACAAGTGTGAAATTTGTTCTAAGCAGTTTAGTCAAGATGCAATTTTGAAAAAGCATTTAAGGATACATACTGGAGAAAAGCCTTACAAGAGCGAAATTTTGTATTAATCAATTTAGACAAGATAGACATTTGACAAATCATTTAACAATATACATTTAAAATAAATAATGTGCACACTTATTTATGAAATTACTGATCACTTGATCAATAATAAAACAAAACATAAAAATACAAGTTTATTAATTTCCACAGAATATGGCCTACCTGACATGTTGTAGAAAGGGCTTCCTTAGAGGAAGCCGTAGACACCATTGTACCTAAACGTTTTAAATTTTGCGGCGAAACTGATAGGTTTGTTTTTTAGTAGTAGTACTGTCGGTTTCGCAATTTTTTCTGAATCGGTAGTTTTTTTTTTTTTTTTCAAGTAAAGAAGAGCAATTAGCCAGGCCCTTCTGCATTAAACAAGAGGCATTCTACTGTAGTACTCTAGTAGCAGTGATGATGCTTTCTCATCTGATGGAAGCGATAGTTCAGAATCTGAAGATGAGACTGTTGTTGCAAATATACAATTTGTAAATACGGCACACACTACTGCATGGAGTGACACAGGTTCAATGAATAAGATTATATTTTAGAAGAAACAGGAATTACTAGATCAAGCTCCTGGTAATGGAACCCCGTTGAATTTCTCACGACGATAATTTCTCTATCCCTATTTCTCTATCTCTATTCCTCTATCTTAGACGATAATTTTTTGAATGATGTACATTTCACAAATATACACTCAGGTGCAAAAAAATCGATCCATGGGTATTATTTGCTGAAAAAAGAAAACGTTCGAAGATCTTAGTTTTAAATAAGGTATATATGTAAAAGTATATGTTAGATTAAAATATTTTTTACAGATTATCCATCTATTTATAGAGACATACGCCACAACTCAAAAATACAAGAATATCCAAAACTTTCTGAAATTAAGAAAAACATTGATAATAAATCAATATCTAGTGTTTCCCCCTGAAGCTGGAAATCTAAAAAGGCATTTAAGGATACACACTGGAGAAAAGCCTTACAAGTGCGAAATTTGTTCGAAGCAATTTACTCAAGCAGAATCTTTGAAAAAGCATTTAACAATACACACTGGCGAAAAGCCTTACAAGTGCGAAATTTGTTTTAAGCAATTTAGTGAAGCAGGAACTTTAAAAAAACATTTAAAGGCACACAATGGCGAAAAGCCTTACAAGTGCGAAATTTGTTTTAAGCAATTTAGTGAAGCAGGAAATTTAAAAGTACATTTAAGGATACACACTGGCGAAAAGCCTTACAAGTGCGAAATTTGTTTTAAGCAATTTATTCATTTAGCAACTTTAAAAGAGCATTTAACGGTACACACTGGAGAAAAGCCTTACAAGTGCGAGGTTTGTTTTAAGCAATTTATTGAAGTGGGAACTTTAAAAAAGCATTAAATGATACACAGTGGAGAAAAGCCGTACAAATGTGAAATTTGTTCTAAGCAATTTAGTCAAGATGGAAGTTTGAAAAAGCATTTAAGGATACACACTGGCGAAAAGCCTTACAAATGTGAAATTTGTTTTAAGCAATTTATTGAAATGGGAAATTTGAAAAGCCATTTAAGGATACACACTGGAGAAAAGCCTTACAAGTGTGAAATTTGTTCTAAGCAATTTAGTCAAATTGGACATTTGAAAATACATTTAAGGATTCACACTGACGTAAAGCATTACAAGTGGGAAATTTGTTCTAAGCAATTGGGTGATGCAAGAACTTTGAAAAAGCATTTAAGAATATACACTGGAAAAAAGCGTAATAAGTGTTAAATTTGTTTTATGCAGTTTAGTGTAAAATGTGATTTGGGGAAAAGCCTTATCAAGTATGAAATTTGTTGTAAGCAAATTATTCAAAGTAATTTGAAAAAACATTTGTGGTTGTAATGCATACCGAGAGAAGTTCTTAGAAGTGTGAAATTTGTTTTGAGTAGTTTTCTGAAAATAATACATTATCCAAGAATTTGGTAACGTCAATTCGAGATTAATAGTTGAAATATAAAGTAATTCCAAAGTAAATAATGAGTACACTTATTTATGAAATTGATGGTCAATTGATTTATCAATTTTAAAATAAAACGTAAAAATATAACAGTTTATTAATTTCCACAGAGTATGGCCAACTTGATATGTCTGCTGTAGAAACAGCTTCCTTAGAAGTTGATGTATTACTATAACTTTTTCGTCAGTACATCTTATCGTTTCGTGTTCCTTTTCGACATGGTTAGCAAATGCTGAGGCGACCGCCACACCGCGGTATTTCACATTGATTCACTTCTCTTGATCAATTGGTTTCTAGTCATGATAATATTTATTCTAAGCAGGTTTTGATTAAAATCTGCATGAAAAATAACTCACAAAAGATATAGACAATGAATGAGAAGTACAAAGTTAAAAGAATATTTGTCAATTAAATATTCGAATCGTGAATGTCAAAATTTAAAAGTCATAAACCGGATGATAGTCCAGTCGTTATAGATTTGACTCATAAAAAACATACGATCAAGCTGAATTTTGCCGAGAATATCAAATTTGGTATGGACATGTGAGAAGAACAGATCATACAAGGTGGAGAGCAAGGATTTCGGATTGGAGCCCAATAGGAAGGAGGAAAAGGCGGATGTTGGCTGAAAGAAGGAAGGCGGCGACAGCTGTAAAAATCCTTATATCGATAGATCAATTTTGGGACCCCAAAAAGAAGCAAAAAAGTTTACCACTTCCCTGGGCTTACCCCTAAAACCCCACTAGTAGTAGGGTAAAAACGCAAAAAATGGATGTACTAAGAATCTGCACGCTGTAGAAAAAAATGTTTTAAATAAAAAAATGTAGCTAAGATAAGTTTGAACAAAAATGTCTGTGTAGAATCAACTGTTCTCTCAGAAACAACGCTTGAAGCGACCGTCGAATTTGAATGTAGTTCCGTGCGCGAAATCAATGTTAAATAAAATTTGTATCCACTCGACGGTAAAAATCAATATGTTTTGATCAGAGTGTCCTATCGACAAAAATCAAAATGCGTTTTAAAGGTAATAAGGGCAGCTTTTATATACAAGTTTTATAATTTACCCAAAATGAAGTAAATATCTATAAAGCTGTTCAATAAATCAGCTTTGCGCAATTTTTGCCATATTTTGTGATTCTCGTAAGATCAATAAAAATTTATTACTTTCATTGTATTTCAGTAGAGTTTCAGAGAGTATTTCATACTAGCACATATAAAATTATTACATCTTTAAGCTTTACTTTATCGAAAGCGTTCGATAAAGTAAAGCTTAAAGATGTAATTCACCTTCTTTACGATAGAGGAATTCCACTAGATGTTATAAAAACAATAGAGAACATTTACCAGAACAACAATATGGAAGTCAGAATAGATGACCAGCTTACAGATCCAATAGATATGGGCAATGGAATAAGACAAGGAGACTCGCTTAGTCCAACGCTATTCAATCGAATCATGGATGAAATCATCAATACTATTAATAAAGGAAGAGGATACAAAATGGGGAACAAAGAAATCAGAATACTCTGCTATGCAGATGATGCGGCCCTAATTGCATCCAATGAAGACGATCTACAAAGACTAACCCATAGATTCAACACACAAGCAAAGGACTTTAATATGGTGATCTCTACACAGAAAACTAAAACAATTGTAATCAGTAAAGAACCAATTAGATGTAAACTGGAAATCGACGGTATCAGCATTGAGCAAGTAATGGAGACAAATTACCTAGGAATTACACTGTCTAGCTACGGAGGTGTGGAGAAGGAAGTGAAAAACCAAGTACAAAAGGCTAATAAAATAGCAGGTTGTCTTAATAACACAATATGGCGCAATCCCCACATTAATACCGACGTGAAATCAAGAATCTACAAAGCAAAAGACCAATAATGACATACACTTCAGAGACAAGACCGGATATCTCCAAAACTCAGCAACTACTAGAAACAGCGGAGATGCGTTTACTGAGGAGAATTACAGGAAACACACTGAGGGATCGAATGAGAAGTGAAGAGATCAGAAGAAAATGCAATATACCAGAAATAAATGAGTGGACACTGAACAGAAAAAAGGAATGGAACGAACACATAAACAGAATGGTAAGAGACCCGATTAGTCAGAATAGCGAGGGACAAATCACCAAAAGGTAGAAGAAGTATCGGGCGACCACGCAAAAGATGGAGTGATAACCTCCAATAGAGGCATTAATCGACATTGAACAAGCATTTTGCTTATAAAAAAGAAGAAGAAGAGACATATAAAATTATGGGCAAGAGCACTAATTATTATATGAAATGAAAATTTAAAACGAACAAAAACGTGAAAAATACATTATACAATTAAAAGCATAAAATTGTACCTATAAATATTATAAAATAAAATTATATTTTGCATTTAAAAAATACTTAGGTATACATATAATAAAAACCATTAAAATTATCTCTTAGGTAAAAAGTTAATACATATTATATAAGAATAAAGTGAACCATCTATAGCAATGTAGCAATTTCTGTTTTGAGATTTCTGGCAAATATATCAGTTTACAAAATAATTGACAAGTATATCAATTTACAAAATAATTTACAATATTTAGCTACATTTAAAGTAAAAAGCGCTATTTTATTAATGCTTTTTAATATGAATTCAAAAATTGTGGCTTCTCATAACAAAACATTATAATTTCTTATATTTAAGTATCTTAAATTTTAAAATCTATACTTTGTACAAAAAATATGGCAACACTGTGACGCAAGGTTATTACAGTGGAACCTCGATTATCCGTCTCTCTATTAACCGTCATCTCTGATAACCGTCAGGGTCCATACATAAGTTATATTGATAACATATAAGTATAAATTTAGTCATCAATTCATTTTGTTTGCAAAAAGATTTCCACCAAAGACGATTTTTATTTTGGACAATGTACCTGCCCATCCTAAAGTCGGTATACTGCGGAGTGACGATAAAAATATCACGTACTCTTTTCTGCCTGCGAATACATCATTGATACAACCAATGGATCATTCGGTCACTAATACATTCAAAAGAAGATAAGTACAGGAAAAAATTTATTCAAAACCTAGATATGGAAGAGTAATATTCTTAGCCAGAATGGAAAGCGTAAGTTTAAAACACGCAGTCGACAATGCTGTGGATGCTTGGGCTGATGTTTCGGAAGTTACGCTGAAAAGAGCCTTATGACTTAAGATGAAAATGCTCCTCTTAAATGAAGTTATAGCTGAATCAACTTTTGTTTTCGTTGCCTAAAGATGACATAAACAAATGATTAATTTGTGATTAGGACGCAAACGGCTATCGATTTGCCTGGTTGCACCTTAACTCTCACTTACGTTGCACCATAATTTTCGATTCTTATCTAAGCACGTCTTAATTAAGACGAAATTTAAGATGAAATTCACGTGGCAAGACTCAATGGTGCAACGCTTATGTTTCGAAAGTTGAGCTTAAGACACGCGTTAAGCTTAAGATATGTTGGTGCAACCAGACGATGAAATCGCTGAAATGGCAACAGAGGCGAACGAAACTGATTCAAGCCCACGATACACAGACTAAACGCACGGTTCCTATACTTAAGTCCGCTTTACATTTACGAGTACTCGGATCCGAGTTACTCTACTCGGAGTGTAACTCGGAAGTATAAACGTCTACTCGGAGCATCTTGTTACTCGGATCCGAGCTCGGATTGAAGTTGAACGCAAACCGAGTAGCAATACGAGTTCCTGTACGAGTGAGCGTCAAAGTGGTGGAAATTCCAAATTAAAAATGGCGAAACTAAGATTTTCTGCAGATCAAATGGATCAATTTATCGATCATTTATCGGTACATTATCAAGGAAATAATGCTTTAAATTAAATTAAATTAGGTAATCATTAACTTTAACAAACCTCTTGTAAATGTTGTTTCACCAAATGCTTTTCTTTGTCTTAATTTTTGTCGTTGTTTTCCTCCTTTAAAATGTTTAATAACACTAATGCAACAGCAACTCGTTTCTTTCTTGATGGCGCCATTTTTCAATTCTCTTTGAAAGTACTCTGATCGCTCGGATTTAATGTCAACGTCATTTAATGTCAACGATCGCAGTTCCACTAGTAGCTCAAATCCGAGCTACTCGGATCCGAGTACTCGTAAATGTAAAGCGACCTTTACTACGGTTGCCTCTTCCGCCTAACCAATGAACATTAAGCCGGATTGTACTCCTGTGACGTAATTTGAATCTTAACATTCAGCCCTGTGATTGGATGGATGTATCAAAACAAAAATGTTTTATAAATGTTAAATAACGTGCACGTTAACCTGCATTTACATTGAATTCTAAAAATTGATGTGATGTATCACAGATAACGTTTGTCAAAAAAAAACGTTATGTGGTAACGTTTTACGTTATCTTGCTAACATAATATATTATATTCTTTATAGTTTAGTTTGCAGATTTACTTCCAAAATTAATTTACTATGTGTTTATAATACGCAAATCTGTAAAGTAAATTATTTTACTTTCAAACTAAATTTTAATTGGCAAGTAAAATGTTTTATAATACCGCAATACCGGGCATAAAAGTGGTATAAACAAACCAGACAGCTGTTGATTTGAATAGAATTATTTTTAGTAAATTTCAGCATTATGACTACGTTAAAGTATTTTAAATCCAATCGATATTGTTTTGGTCCTCAATGCAATTCAAGATATGTCCCTATTTCTCTTTCCTAAACTGAAAAACTTGAAGAAAAAATAATTTATTATGCAATTTTTTAAAGACAAATCATGTCCTATATTTTCTGACAGGTGATCTCAAGTTAAGGTTGATTTCATGTAATCAAATGAACTATTTTACAATAAAGCCAAGTTAAAGTTATTTATTTATGTTAATATCATCGAGCAATAAGACAAAAGAGGGAATATAAAGGTAGTGGGGGTAAACATATTGATAGACAGGAAGGGCCATCTTGAGAGGCCACTTTAGACAAGTAGACAGTCTCTTTCCTTGTTTAAGAAGTCAAATTTAGTTAGGTTATGTTATTGTTTGTCCCAACTGTCACATGAAATTTTATTTATATTGAAATCTTTTACCTATGTGTCACTTTTTAGACTATTATAGTTAATATTTAATTAAAACTTTCTCGTCTGAAAAATATTTTATAGCTATTGGTTAATAAGTGTTGGAAAATTTAAATTTAGCGCCTTTGCAATTTCCGGATATGTCCGCCATCAGAGGCCACTTTTTTGGTCTCCTTTTCATAACGATTACATTCCCTCTTTTATCTTTTTGCTCGATGGTTAATATACAATAAAGTACTTACATATGTCAAAAAATAGTATAAAAATAAAAATAAACATTAAAAACATAAGGTATAATAATGCATATATACGTTAAGGCAAACATTACACAGAATATTATATTCTGGGTTCCAGGTATACACAAAATAAGATTCATCATCATCAATACACAAGCCAGTTCTAAACATTAAAGTTAAAATTTAGGAATTCATCACTTGAAAACTGGTTAATGTTAATTTCCATTATTAAATGATACAAATAACTCGTCTTAAACCAAACTAAACATGGAAAAGCAATGGTAAATATTATTCGAATGTTATGTTTGTTTTTGTTTATACCATTTATATCGGCCATGACCATCGAGCAAAAAGACAATAGAGGAATGTAAATGGTAGTGGGGGCAAACATATTGTTAGACAGAAGTGCGATCTTTAGAGCCACATTAAACAAGGAAAGAGAGTCTCTCTCTTTGTTTGACATCAAATTTAGTTGGGTTATGTTATTGTTTTGTCCCAAATGTCACATGAAATCTTATTTATATTGAAGTTTTTTAACAATTGTGTCGCATTTTAGACTCTTATCATTAATAATTAATTAAAACTCTCTCGTCTAAGACACATCTGAAAATATTATATAGCTACTGTTAATAAATGTCGGAAAATTTAAATTTGGCGCATTCGCATTTCACGCATGACACTGCAATCGACCTGCCCTCTACATTCAGTTTCAATCGCGAATAAATGGTTTTGTATTCTTGTGTACTCCTGTGACGTAACTCAAGCATCCCCACCACAGTCGGAAGAGGCAACCGTAGCATGGTACAATAAAATTCACAGAGAGTTTATTGTACCATGATGTACGATTATCTACATGAAAAGTACCAGATAAATTATATTTTAACTGCTCAATTAAACCGGGATGTTCTTGAAAATTTCTTTGCCTATATTCGAGGAATGGGTGGAGCCAATGATCATTCATCTCCCTTGGATTTTAAATATCGTGATGTGATATTATTAACCTCCTTGGTATTACCTGGCTGTAGACTTCTAATATTGTAGGCAACTTTATGCTGTCAGTGTTTGACAGAAGTCACTGTCGGTGTCACTGCTCATCACTGCACTATATACTTTGAAACAACTACAATACAATACAATGAAAGTATAAAGTATACTAATTGTAAAAATACATTTTTGCCTATTGGAACCGGTCATTTGGATTAAATTCGAAATGGAGTTAAGTGAAGATTGTATAAAAAGAAAAGAAAACGTTTTAATAAAAAATGAAGATTCTTTAGAGCAACATGTTAATGTACAAATTAAATCAGAAGTCGAAGAATACATGTTTGAAAGTAATTATACAGGAGATTCTCTATCAGATTGTTCGACCAATATTAAAATAGAAGAACATGTGTTACATCAGGAAATAAGTGACCCTTTCCCTGCCATTACCATGCAAGAAGTTAAGACAGAAATCAAAAAAGAACTAGATGAATATAATTTAGAAGTAAACCATGGGTGTGGTACTATATTTAAAAGTAAGAGTATGAAAAATTTAGACTCTGAAACAGATGTAACATTCCAGATAGGAGCCTCAACCGAGATAGATAATGAAAAACCTTGTAAGTATTAAAACAGCAAAATTACTGTTTAACCTTGGCAAAAAAGTAAGTTTTACTCTATGTATTGAGGGATATTAAAATGTATATATCAATTTTGCTTCTGTTATTGTTCATTATTGAGAATATTAGTTTTGAATTTTCTGCCAAATATTTAAATTAAAGGCTCGGTCATGTAAGGCGCTAGTAGACAGCATGCTAAAATAGAGTACACTAAATCCAACTACCTACGTTTGTTGTGATTTCTCGCTGGGTGTGCCTTAATTTAAAATTTGGTCTTAATTTAAAATTTGATGGGTTTCATGTTTATTAAAATGAAAATTGGGTATTGGTAGTAAGTGGAGGACTTTCGCATATTTAGGCTGGTTATTACAGTTTTTTTAGAAAAATTTATTTTATAACTTATTTTCCTTTCTTGACATGTAGGTAAAAATATTTTCCAACTTTAGGTTTAAAACTATTTAAACATGTGTATTATTTTATTTTATTTTGATATCCTAGTGATGCTTTTTTATTAAATATCTCTTATTATTGTTTTAATTTTTTTATTAAATACTTTTTGTTTAATTCTCTATTATTATTTTTATTTCTAGAACATTCATCATTATCATTATTTATTCTCTTGGCTTTCTCCATGTGTGGTCGGCTTTTCTAATTATTTTCCTTCAAACTTTCTATTCTGTGCCATATCAACGTGAATCCCTTTTACTGTCATATCCTGACTTAACTGTCGCTCACTACCTTTTTCTGACTTCTTCTTCTGTTTCTTCCAGGGACTAAGCATGTCTCCACTTCTTATATGGGATCGTCTTCATCTCTACATTGTGTATACCTTAACCACCTTAACCTATGTTTTCTCCTCTTTTTTTCAATAGAAGCCACACACAAACTTTCTCTTTAATAGACTCATTCCTAACTGTATCTTTTGTAGTTACTCCACTTGGCCAATGAAACATTCGCATTTCAGCAATGTGCAGTTTGTGTTCATTCCTCTTTATTACTGCCCAACATTCAGTAACTTACATAATAGCTGTTCTTAAAGGAAGCCCTATAGAAACTTTTAGTTTTATTGTTACCTTTCTATCACACAGCCCCCCACTTACCTCTATCCATTTCATTCATCCTGCTCTACTCCTACCAATACAGCATCATCTGCATACATTAAAGACCAAGGATCTCCCCTTGAAGTTCAGCTGTTATCTGATCCAGTACTAATGAGAATAAATACAGGCTTAACACGGAACCCTGATGAAGTCCTATTTCTACTACTCTCACATATTCAGCTGGCACTCCTTTCATACTTAGTGTCCACCACAGTAGGTTTCTGGTAACTCTGTCATATGCCTTCTCAAGATTAATAAATATTATGTGCAAGTCTTTCTCTTTCAGTCTAAAATTTTCTATTAGCTGTTTTATAATAAAAATTGCTATTGTGGACCTGCCTTGCATAAATCCAAATTGATGTTAATCAACTTTTAATTTTGGAACACTAAATTTTGTTGGCCTTTTTGGTGCAATGGCGAAGGTAAAACCACCCTAAATCTCGCCTAGGACCTAGTACACCCTGATTTAAAAATACAACTCTAATATAAAAGTAAATAACATCATTATTTAACATGGCTTATAATATTGTTCTGAAGCTATTTTCTTGTGGCATTGTAAATTAATTACTATTAAACTGGGAATAAGCCACAATTAAAGATAAAAATACGTTTATTGACGTTTCAATTTCCACTTCGGAAATCGTTCTCAAAATACAAAATTTTGTATTTTGAGAACGATTTCCGAAGTGGAAATTGAAACGTCAATAAACGTATTTTTATCTTTAATTGTGGCTTATTCCCAGTTTAATAGTAATTAATGGCTTATAATATTTTTAAGAAATTTCAGTACACTACTAAACAAGGAAAATCGATAGTAATGTTAAATTAACTAACATTCTTGTAAATAAGCCTATACAACTATAATAAAAATTCAATACAGATATAAAACAAAAAATAATTGTGAGCTACAACAATTATGGTTAATTCAATTTAATGTTTACCCAGTTCCTTTTTCTATTGGAAGGATTTTATTGCAACATTTTTCGCCTTTTCCTAAAGTTCTTCCTTCGTCTTAGGCATTGTTCTTTGAATGTCTGTCATAAATTTGGTAAAACTTTCGTCATCTAATTTTTTTATGAAATTTATTAAGTTTTCCATTTGCAGACTTTGTTTACTGAAAACAAATCAAGGTAAAACGGAATATATGTATGTAGGTAAAACATCAGGAAATCAGTAATTACAAAACCTAACTATAGCAGAGTATAACATTGAAAGTGTGAAAAGCTTTATATACTTAGGATTCCTAGTTACATGCAATATTAACCTACCGCGAAGAAAGGGGAAGAAGAATATTCATAGCTAAGAAAAGCTACCATGGCTTAATTAAACAACTAAGATCAGGTAATATTACAAGAAAAAACTAAGTTCCATTTATATAAAACATTATTCACATATGGATCTGGAACCTGGACATTTACTAAAAGTGAAGAAAGTCAATTGGCTAATTCTGAAGGAAAAATTTTGAGGCACAATATATAAACAAGTGAAAGAAAATTGTATGTAATTGTATATACCTTAGTGTTTTTAAACAGGCCAAGATTCAAAAAGGGTTGGATATCAAATGATGATGATAAAAAGACAATACCTTACAACTAGTTATTTAACCCTTAAGTACTGACGCATAGTCTACCAGACTACGGCTGTTTTTAAAACTGTAATATCTACCGTAGTTAATAAAATATTTAGATTTTCGTCAGTATACTCTCAAATAGCAGTAAAACAAACATACTCACCAAATATTAAAAATAGATCTTGAGCTGAACCGAAATTATCTGACAATAAAATTTATGCTTATTAGGCGTAATATGTCAGATGATACACCAGTATGAGAGTAACTATTATTAGACGTGAGTTATTTGTTTACTCTTAAGTTGTGATAGTCAAAAGTGATCAAAATGAGTAATGAAGCACATTCCTCATAAGAGTGTGCATTTTAGAATTCAGTTTTCCACTAACTTTTCTACAGAGATGATTGAGCAAATTATTCACTAGACCAACGCTAAAATCTGTTATCGGGAACAATACAAAAAAACTGATAGAAGTGAAATTCGTGACACGGATTTGATTGAAATGAAAGCATTTTTGGGTATGCTAATTTATACTGCCGTTTTCAACTCAAATCATGTTATGAGTAACGATCTGTTTGCGGTACATGCTGTTAGCATGTCTTTGTTTTGATAATCCCAAGGACCGAAAACAGTGTCAACAACCTGATCCAACTGCTACAATATGAGAAATATTTAACAAGTTTGTATTAAATTGCCAAAACATATATTCAGTTGGCCAGACTGTATGTGTCGATGGGATGCTAGTTAGTTTTCGGGAAAGATGTAAATTTAAAATGTTCATGCCGAACAAACTCGACAAATATGGCCTCAAACTGATGTGTTTTAGGACATATGAGAACTCAAAGGACATAGAAGCACCCTATATGGTTTTACTGAACAGATGACATCGGTGTCATATGCTGGTAAAAAGGAAAAGCTACAATTCTTATATACTCCATGCACCATTGTACATACACTGTGTTGCAAACGAACAAGCCAGAAATTGTATCGTCAGAGTGGTCTCACTAGATGAGAAAGGTTCCAAAAATACTTGCAGAATGCAAAGACATTCCTACAATATCGGAAAAATCTAATTTTCTAAAACAATTGGCAAACAGTTAGTAGAACCTCATATGCGAAGACACGAAACCATGAATTATATTCCAAGAGAAATAAAAAATAAATTTGTATACGTCGGGTATTAGGTATTCAAGAAACAAGTGCGTCAGATCTTATAGATGACGAGATCTTGGAAAAAAGAAAAATATGTTCGATTTGCCCAAGTAAAAAAAGACGAATGACTAAATACCTTTGTATTCAGGTTTATTACTTACTTTAATTTATGTATTAATTTATAATTTACTTTTTCAAGTGCGTGTTTACTTTATATACATTTTGTTATATCCCCTAAGAAATACAAGATCTATATTAGTTAATAATAATTTATATTAATTTTTTTCTGTAAACTTTTAAGTGTTACACTTGGTATATTTATATATTTTCGTTTTCCAAAGTAATATATTTTTTTTACTAACTGTGTTGATTTTTGATATTTATTGAAAATATGTTGTTGCAAATGAATGTAATTAAAAAGTTTAAAATATGTTTTAACTGAATTTCACAAAAAACATGCAAAGAAATTGTTTTTATTTGGGGTAGTCGCACAGACGACCTGTCAGTAGTTGTGTTCTAATATTTATATGTCAGTACTTAAGTGTTAAGAAATTAAAGTTGTTGATTTCTGACAAGTGCGAGATTTATTATACGAGGGAGTAAGGTAAGGTTTAATTAAACTAGTAAATTTGCCACATAAACTACCACCACCACCATCACCTCCATAACAAAATTAACTTAAATGTAGAAAGCAAATAACTACAAAATTAGCCGATATTTTATTTAAAAATGTTTATCGTATATTACATATCAAGGAATGAATGTTGTTGATTCTGCTAAGAGTAAAGTTTGTTGTAGAGCCACACAAGGATAACAATTTACACAAGGCAAATTGGAGTAACTTTAATTATAATTATGATAGTTATAAAAAGTGTTTACCTTCATTCTTGAATAAGGAAGCATAGTTCTCGTTAGCGTTCCATTCCTGAACCTTTAATTTTGTTGCTACAATATCATTTTGATCTCTTTTCTTGTGAATAAGTATTATACAAATTTGTGAGATGTTTACGTGTTAATAGGGCAAGTCTTTGTATTTTTGGTTTTTCCAATATTCTAAAATTTTTCTTTGTGGTACCTCAGATGTTAACTTCTCTACAACATTTTTTTCTTGTGTTTTTAACAGATGCATGGTTATCAATTCTCCTGTAAGTACAGCATGTGTTTTCTAATAACTGACGGA